ATTAATTGCATTTTAATCCCAGATGGATTTTGGAGTCAGTGCAGCTCCAGATTAAGTGTCCCCTCAGAAGAGCTCCATGTCACTTGTGACAAACTGTGACATGATGAGCTGCTTAGAAGATGAGAAGTGTCTCATTCTTCTCAATGGACAAAGTGCTCGATTCAAATGAACAAAGATTCAGCTCTGCCACAAATACCTTAATCTCTTTAAAATGCAGTAAGCAGATAAATATTGTGTACTATATGTGTACCACGTACACAACACACCAAAGAGTACTGTATGAAGCTAGAGAGAAATTAATTAATAGTTGTTTTTATTAGTTTTATTCATGTAGCAGTATAGAAATATACCTGGCTAGAGACATGTCACGTGGTTAAATGAGGTGTACGGAGTATAAAAGGAGGCAGCAGTGCTTCTTCTGGCACCTGGTTTCTTCCTGCTCCCTCTACGTGGCTCGCAGCCCGTGTGGGGTTTGGTTTTGGCTGAGCGGCAGATCGTGTTATGCGTGCTGTTCTGGCCTTCGTGGGGTGGGGTAGGTGTCCTCTCTTGGTGCACTCTACTTGATCTTTGTGGTTTGATTGCAGGTGAACACCAAGCTTGCTGCTTTCCTCCTCTTCCTTCCAGTGTGTGTGTGTGTGTGTGTGTGTGTGTGTGTGTGTGTGTGTGGTGTGTGTGTGTCAGCAGGTGAGTAGTTGAGTCCTGACGCACATTGTCAGCTTCAAGTTTAATACCTTTTGATAGTGATCAGTGACTGACTCTCACATGTGTTTTGTCTCTACAGAGGACTACAACTGTCTGGTTTCTCCAGATTACTGCACTCGTCTCCAGACGCCCGTGGCTGCTTCTCTGGATTTCTCCACGCACTATGTCTGGGGCGCGGTCCCTGAGAACTCGTGTCAGTGGCCTGGTTAATTAGCCACACACCTGGGAAATACGTACTGTATTTATTTGAGGTTGACAGCCTCAAGTAAATATATCTAATTTAAATTAATTTTTAATTTTCTTGCAATGCTTTAATGTTTATTGTATTTTTTTTTGTTTGTTTATAACCTCCACACTTGCTTCAAGTTTCTTTATTGTCATTCACATCACAACATGAGGTGGAACGAAATTTTAAAGTCTACTCGAGGTTTTAAAATTTTCATCAAAAAACGTTTTGTAGATCTGGTGGGTTTAGGTTATTTTGGCCCAATCAGAATTACAAAAATTGTTGACGTTTACGAGATAATAACAACTTAACGTGCCTAGCACTAGTTTTTGTATTTTAAACAGACACAACATTTTCTATGATAGTAAAGGTTGAATAATAATGTGTAAATCTTTTCACTACAGCTGGGAATCTATACTATGGAGCCTCGCCTCGCAGAAGGGCCATACGATGTAGAAATGAGGCATGGAGCCTCTTCAAGGAATTTCACATTTCACCCATGGGAGGACACACTGGTATTGTGAAAACCAGAAATGCCATGTGTTCCCGATTTTATTGGCCTAGTATAACTTCAGACAGAGAGAAATGGGTATGTTACCACATTGTCAATATCAAGCTCCAAAGTATCATAAAACTGAAAAACATTTATATTTTCTAGGTGTCTCAATGTGACCAGTGCCAAAGAGTCGGACCTCCATTAAGAGTAGTCAGGACACTGGATTGCATCAAGGTAGCCATCCACTGCAATTCCCATACTTTATTACTTCGATGCTACTGTTGCTCATAAACGTATAATCAATCACCAACAGGTATCACGTGTCTGGCAGCTGATCGGAATTGATCTGACAGGTCCCCTCCCCAAGACATCTTCTGGCTTTCAGTATATATTGACAGCAACTGACGACTTCTCAAAGTGGGTGGAGGCTTTCCCTCTGAAAAATAAGTCTGCAAAAACTTGTGTAGCATCATTTATCGGCACGGCTGTCCTGAGCGTATTCTCACAGACCAGGGACGAGAGTTTGTGAATCAAGTAAGCCACATTTAATAAAATTATGATGTATATATACAGACCATTTCTAAAAAAAAAAAAAAAATAGAATATAATGGAAAAGTTGTTTAACCAAATTCCTTTCAGAAAGTTAATCTTTAATAGATGATAGATTCAGGGCCCACAATTTTAATGATTTCAAGTATTAATTTGTTTATTTTTACATAATTTGGGCTTCCAACTCATGAAACACACGAAAACAGGATTTCTAAAGTTACAATACTGTGGAGAAATCAGCCCAAATGTTGCAGGACATGAATGTTTTAAACTGAGTGTGACACTAATCATCTACTACACTCAAAAGTACATGCACAGGTTTCCCCAGGTGTCATTAAATTGATTCAGTTTGGTTCAATTGTCTCAGTTCAGTTCAATATGTGGAAGACTGCAGACATAACTGGCCAGAAGACCATCATTGATACCCTCCATAGGATGGGTAAGACACAACAGTTCATAGCTAAGGAGGCTGGCTGTTCATAGAGTGCTGTGTCCAAGCATATCAATGGAAAATCTAGTGGAAGGGCAAAATGTGGCAGGAGAAGATGCACCAGCAAAACAGATGACTGTGGGCTTCAGCGGATTATGAAACATGAATGAGGAACAGAGCCCATACTGCTTGAGGTCCAGTGTGAAATATCCGCAGTCAGTCATGATTTGGGGTGCAATGTCCAGTGCAGGTGTTGGTAAACTCTGCTTTCT